TATAGTATACATTAGGCACATTTAGTTCATTCATTTGCCAGGTTCAGTCCTAAATTCTGCAGTCCTCTACAGCCTATAACTTCATAGCTCACAAAAACACCAGGTCCAGGTAACAGTGCGGTCGCACAACACTGTCTACTGACACTTATGTCTCCCCTAAAACAACATGGAAGACGGAGAAGAAGCCTGCGTGCCTGTGTGTACAATTTCTACTCACTGGTTTCAGGAAATAAAGGAGCACAAAAACGATGATTCCACCATCGTAGATAAAGGGTTGCTAAAGACTGCAAACAAATGCTTCAAGTATGATAGAGAATCTCACATAAATAGTAGATATTACAATATAGCCCCCGACCAAAGGTTCTGTCCATTTTGTCCAAAGCATATAGAAAATGAATTTCATTTTGTTATGGAATGTACCAAATATGATGTTATACGTAACAAGCTATTTACATTTCTCGAATCAAGAACCATAGATTTTAAGAGTCTCGATGTTGGAGACAGATTTGAATATATCTTTACATGTAACGGTCCCCACAACGCAAAAATAGGTAGATATATAAAGGAATGCTTTGCTATTAGAAAAAATACCGAAACTTGTGATTAGCCCACTTGATTATAACACTTTATTAACGACTTATGATATCCCTTATTATTTGAATGATTATGATATAGATATGTTAGGTTTTATTCGACATTAGGTCTTATTCAACACACTTATTTTATTGTTGTTACTCTCTTTATGTAGTTTGCCATACAATGTACCATGTGCATTTGTCGTGCAATAAAGTTCTTCCATAAACGCAGACTACACTATAGGGAGTACATTTTGTTTTTAAGTTTCTCTTACTGAAACGTCTCACCACAGAGTCACGGTTTGCACCAGGGCAGAGGAAGAAAGGAACCGGAGGAACCACTGTGTTCAAGGTCAACTACAGTCGGGAACGGAAACAAACTGGAGTTGAAAATAGTATAAGAAAGTTTTGTAGTATTTGGCAAGATTATGCATTGCCATAACTTCTACAATGCCTCGCAAGGTGGTAGACGACAGCAGTGGCCGGACATGTATGTATGTATGTGTGTATGTATGTATGTATGTATGTATCTCCGGTGTTTCGGCGGAGAAATTAAAGCTGCAGCATCCTGTAGCTTTAGCTTGGTGTGCCAAGAAATAAAAACGAGCATCCGAATGTTAAAGAGAAAAACTGCTGAAATATATGCAACTGGTAATTGATCATTCACGTAATGCTGTATAAACTAGACTGAGATAATAAGACGGAAATTGTACGAAACTTAAAAAATAATGTAAAAATCGTGTTTAAGTACTTCCTGGCTTATTAAAAGCAGATCAATACATAGAGATAAACAATTAAAATGTTAGGACTTATTCAATGTGTGAGTTCTGAGCGTATGTATTATGTAAAGTTAACATTCATCTAAGATATATGTATACATGATATATAAGGTTAACATTCATCTAACATATACACGATATATAAGGTTAACAATCATCTAAGACATATACACGCTATATTATATAAGGTTAACAATCATCTAAGATACACATGATGTATCAGATATGGTTGCTAATAGGTTAACGATCATCGATCTTAGATATGCGCGATATATAAGTTTAACAATCATCTAAGATATACACGATATATAAGGTTAACAATAATCTAAAATATACACGTTATATTATATAAGGTTAACATTCATGTAAGATATACGCGATCTATAACGTTAGCATTCATCTAAGATATACACGATATATAAGTTTTACAATCATCTAACATATACACGATATATAAGGTTATATTATAGAAGGTTAACATTTATCTGAGATATACACGATATAGAAGGTTAACTTTAATCCAAGATATACACGATATATAAAGTTAGCAATTATATAAGATATACACGATATATAAGGTTAGCATTCATCTAAGATATACACGATATAGAAGGTTAACATTTATCTAAGATGTACGCGATATATAAGGTTAACAATCATCTAAGATATACATTATATGTCATATAAGGTTAAAAATCATCTAAGATATACACGTCCCACACTAACCACAGCCAGTATACCGGCAAATCGTCATGAGGTCATTCACCCCGGTACTACAGAATACTAGTACGTCATAGCGTGCGCTATGAATCATGGGAACCCCACCAAAACCGTCGACAAACCTTCTCACCTGCGGACGTACCACTGTCTTCAAGACGCCGTGAGAACTCACCTGTACGTCTTGTGACATCAGAACTAACAGCCTTTGGTTCCTGGAGCGTCCGAGAACCTTACAGAGATATTAAAGACCGGGAAAAGGTTACCAATCTCTCACAAGACACATCTGGAAAAACTCAGGTAAACCCGGAAGTAACGGGTGCATCATACGTAGCAGGGCCTGAAGTACAAAAACTAAAGAAACTTTTACCACAGCCCTTCAGCACACAGATAAACTGTTGATGTTGATTGAATTAGAAAGTATTGACGCTATGTTTGTATGGTTTTGAAATTATCGCTCCTTTGTTAGTACAGTTTGATCTACAGTGTTCGGAAACGCTTGAGAAACCATGATAATTTGTAAATCAGGTATGTCCTGAGCGCGCTGTACATGATGCTCGGTCTGTTCCACTACCATAATATTGTTTAGGGAGAGAAATGATACATTTGTGGGTCTGTGTTTGCGCTACAGGAAAGTTCTAGATCTATTTAGTCTTACTTACGGCAGTGTCACTAGGCAGGTGGTGTGTATCTATCTGTAGGGTCAGACCAGGCATGGACGGAAGAGAACAGGAGACAATGGAGGAAGTCGAGGAGTCCGGGTCAGAGAAGTCCGGGTCTGAAGAGTCGAGTTTGAAAAAAAGGAGGGAAGACGAGGAGGTATAGTAAAAGAATACTTTATAAAAAGAGTATTGATGTTACACACAGACAAGCCACACAGTGCATATGGTGGTGTATATCTGTATCAGGCCTTTTTCTCTAGCCTAAAGTGTAGATTGGTCCGCCCGTAGGGTGGTCTCCTTGCGACAGGACAGCTCGGTAGTCTGTTTTTTACATTTATCTGTAACGTTACATGATACTACTATGTTTCTTTTCACATGTGTTGTTTGTACCATGTTATGTGTCTGTATACTATGGGCCGTTGAGTCTGAAATAAACAATTAACATGCACTATGCACACATAGAGGAGATAAATGATATGTCTTTTTATAACTTTACACTGAGAGACATGAAAGGAAGTGAAATATCAGTATGACGGATAAATGAAGGGATATGTGTTTAATCTTGCTGAGTGTTGTTCTGATTGACTGAGTGTTGACAGTTGTTTCTCCTGTTCCTGTCTGCCGCCACTATAGGCGCTGTGGCACGCTGCAGGAGAAGGAGACACGGACAGAGTGAAGCAGCTGTTAGCGGAGGGAGTCAACCCTAATGCTGCTGGCTTTTTGGTATGTTGCCATGTCTTTCGTCACTTTGCTTATATATGGTAATGAAAAATTTAAGGCTGTGCAATGAAAATCAAGAGGCAGCAGGGACAAACCGCTTATAAAAGACACAGATGGGAAGGGCAATGCCGCACTGGTCGCTGCACCCGTCTTTAGCTTTCAGCTTGTCTGTAACATATCCGTAACATTTAACAAAACAAAGCAATATTTGGAATTTTCCACATTTGTACCAGTAGTTTCAGCAGCTCCAATTTTACTTCTACTAGTTTACTTCTTACTACTTACTACTAGTTCCCGCCATGATGTGTTTTACAGCAACTGACTCCACTGCACCGGGCAGCCAAGTATGGTCACCATGAAACTGCATCAGCTTTGCTGGCAGCCGGTGCAGATGTGAACGCATGGGACCTTGACGTAGGTAGACTAACTATTGCCCTACAAGAAATTTTTTTAATGTCATTTTATACGATTTCACATTCATTTTCTATATAGCATTTGCTGTTTAAAATATAACCAACACAAAAATATCACCAACACACAGCAATACACAGATTGCATATTTGTCCGTTACGTTGCAATACTGAAGACTTTTTGATGTGTCTTACAGCAAGACTCTCCTCTACACAAGGCAGCCGGGAGTGGCCACCATAAAACTGTATCAGCTTTACTGACAGCTGGTGCAGATGTTAACGTACGGAACGAGGAGGTAGATAGACTGACTGCTGTGACGCAGAAACATTTTTATGTCTCTTATGGGATTTGACATCTATCGCCAGCTTTACTTGCTGAATTCCGTTAGAATTGTCAACAAAATATTATAAACTGCACATTTGTCCGTCCTGTTGTCATGCTGAAGACCATCTGATCTATTTTACAGCAAGACTCTCCCCTGCACCTGGCAGCCTGGAGTGACCGCCATGAAATTGTGTCAGTTTTACTGACAGCTGATGCAGATGTGAACGCACGGAACGAGCGGGTAGGTAGACTGATTGCTGTGAAACAAGAAATATTTCTGTATCATCTTGTAAGATTTGAGATTCATCTTCTCAATCTTCTTACTTAGTGGTTTATTTCCTGTCTACAATCTAACTTGTTGCCAACATGAAGCTGGTGCGGTTTTGAAGGCATGGGGCTATACAGCATGTCATCAACTGTCTGAATACATCATACATTTTTTTGGTGCCATAAAGCTTGGGTTGCACATACATTACCATGCATATAGCGCCCTGTATATGTACAATTTAGGGTTATTTTCATGAAACGCATCACGCCAGAGCGAAACGCAACGAATGCAGTAGTAACTACGCCATCGCATGGCAAAAAAGGTCAGGGGTCGATGACCTGATGAAGACACGAAATTGAAAAATATTGCGCAAAAAATGTCGGCAGGACAAGATTTAAATTGCAGTGTTACCGTTATTATCCATTATTAGAAACAACCAGTATGAAAGGCAAAGTTAGGAAATGGTTTCAAGAGAGCTTGGAGTCAGTAAGTGATGTAAACATATACATTGCTATGTTGCACTGTCAATGCCCCAACAGGAAAACACACCCCTCCATGACGCAGCTATACGGGGCCACCCCAAGTGTGCGGAAATACTGCTGCAGCACGGGGCTGATGCCGGTCTCAGGAACGAGGTCAGTCAATTTTTTTGCTTCTCTGGTAAAAAACTGTCCACCAATCCAGCAATACAATATTGGCTTTACTTCCTTTGGAATAGAAGTAAGACGTTTTAAACAAGGTTGATTCATTTAGATACATACATCACTGCCCTAGGCAACGAGGAAGCTGTTGTTGGAATAAACACAGAAATCACGATGTGTTCAGTGGTATTCCTGCATCGTATTACATAAACACGAACCAATTTCTTTCTAGACAGAGGCTTTGCTGCTGTACCTACTGTATGGTATTGTATATGTTTTCGATGCTTAATACATATTGTCTATTGTCATTCAGTCGTGTTTATTTCCGATATTTCAACATTTATGGGCCTTTAATTGACAGCATGTTCATTCCTAGGATGGTCAAACGGCGGAGGACATCGCTGCAGATGAGGACACACGTGACGCTGATCCGGTCACGGAATATGAGGAAGAACTAATTACTCTTGGTAGAAAGGAAATACTGAAGCTTCTCCGACAACAGAATAATGTGAGTCGCTTCAAAACCTACTTGATTCAAAATCATAAAGCATGATATCTAAAGAATATATCTGACATGACTGTTAATTTCTTGTAAAACACTTTGGTTCACAAACAACTGCTGATAATATTATTAAACTACAAGATGATGAAGATGATATGAAGTTGTTTTTTAGTTTCCCTGGTACGCGTGCTAGTATTTGAATTTTGTATTCTGCTTGGCAGTTTGGAGAAAGATGTATTTTTTGACTATCATAAGAAACATTTAGCTACAAGCGCAGTTGGAAGGCATGTGATCTATCTATAGAAACATGTACATGTATTAAAAATAAATATACATGTCCAATTTCACCCTACTGCAACTTACTTGTTACTTGAAGTGTTTCAGAAAGACTTGTACAAATGCCCTCATAGCAAACACTTTCACGTGTACATGTTTGCAGGAAGTCTCCAAACGTAAGAAAGGCTACGATCCTGTACTCGTCCGGTTCTATGAAGAAAGCGGGATGACCGTGGCGAAGAAGGATTGTCCGTTGATAGAAGAAGCAGCTAAGCAGAGCGGGAAAACTGTAGACCAAGTGAAGGTGTGTCTTTGTGATGACTGGTTGATTCCTTGAGCTTAATCAGTTGTATCTTATCTCACTAAAGGCTGAAACGTTTTGTGCTGATAGAGGGGCTTAAGCTGGAATTGTTGGTGTAACTCGTAAATTTTCTGTAGCAAGAACCATAAGAAATCGTACTCTGTGCCTCAAATGAATTGTCATTCATCTTTTCGTTATATCATCCTGGTTAACAGTCATGTCATTTGTAATGATTTTTCAGAGCTTTATCGGTAACTATCGTAGGAGTAAGGGCGGCAGTAAGCGGAGCCTCCCCACAGACGACATGGGGGCTGAGAACATCACGGGACATCGTGAAGACTTAGGGATGTCGGCAACAAAGGGTAAGGTGTAACACACAACTATTTGTAAATTAACTGTTGAATACTTGACTCAGTAGATCATTCTATCTCAGACGTCGGCTTTACGTAAGTGCACGAGAAGTAAAGTGATACAATTATAAATGTCTGATAAAATACTAAAATCTTCTCATCCAGGAGACAGCAGTGTTCCACTCGAAATACAGCTGGGCAAAGGTTAGTAATAGCGCAGGCGCAGAGGGCCCAGTTTTAGTATATAGAGATGGCAATGTAATGTAGAGTGTAAAGAAGTCTTTTTCTAGGGAAATGTTGTTGTTTTGGACTTGGATGTTATAGGTAAGGGTTGTAGTATTTTAATTTTGGTGAAAAAACAGACTTGCAGCCATGTTTGTGTTGTCTGGCTGGCTGAAGAAGATATAGGTTTACATGCGGTCATCAGCTGTCCAGAGAGGTCAGGGGTCACTTCTCAATGTTTGGGTAGAATTCTCGCATGGTTTAGGTGCGTAGGATTTTGTCATTTTTGGGAATGGAGACTTGAGAGGTTGGCCTACCCTGCCAATGTATGTTCTTCAAGGTCTAAAACTCAGGTATATGAATGTTGACCACGTTGTTTTGACATAATTCCCATATATTAACATAGGAAAGCCCTATTACTGTGCTGTGCCCTGCACCCATTTGAGGAGGGGGTCCAGATAGGCTGTAAGGGCTTATATTTCCCTGAAATCAGTTATTTGGGCAAGGAGCAGGCATCAGCTGACTCACTGGACCCAGATTTCCCATGAAATTTTGAGATTTTTAGTGTTTTTAGCCATTTTTAATAGTTTTCTGTATTCTTTATTGACAATGCAATATACTGTCCCTGAAATGCTAAAAGGCTAACTTGAATGCAACTTTAGGGGCCTGGCATAAGGAAAGATAGCTTCCTTATGCCAGGGTGAGCAGCTTTTGACTTTTCCTTCTTGTTTTTATTACTTTTTGCTCATTATTATGGGCCTCGCCAATTGCCTTAGACTAGTGCCCTAGACCTGGAAAAGGGCCCCAGACACCTGTTTCTAGATTTTATTCCCAGGGGACCATTCCTGGTCTGACATCTTCGACACTTGGGATGGTTGTTAACAACCCCTCCCCGGTTTATGTGAAATGATTGAAACCTGTCGACCTTGAACTTGGCCGCCCTGACAGGGCAAAGGTTAGTAATAGCGCAGGCGCAGAGGGCCCAGTTTTAGTATATAGAGATGGCAATGTAATGTAGAGTGTAAAGAAGTCTTTTCTAGGGAAATGTTGTTGTTTGGACTTGGATGTTATAGGTAAGGGTTGTAGTATTTTAATTTTGGTGAAAAAACAGACTTGCAGCCATGTTTGTGTTGTCTGGCTGGCTGAAGAAGATATAGGTTTACATGCGGTCATCAGCTGTCCAGAGAGGTCAGGGGTCACTTCTCAATGTTTGGGTAGAATTCTCGCATGGTTTAGGTGCGTAGGATTTTGTCATTTTTTGGGAATGGAGACTTGAGAGGTTGGCCTACCCTGCCAATGTATGTTCTTCAAGGTCTAAAACTCAGGTATATGAATGTTGACCACGTTGTTTTGACATAATTCCCAGTTTATGTGAAATGATTGAAACCTGTCGACCTTGAACTTGGCCGCCCTGCACCCATTTGAGGAGGGGGTCCAGATAGGCTGTAAGGGCTTATATTTCCCTGAAATCAGTTATTTGGGCAAGGAGCAGGCATCAGCTGACTCACTGGACCCAGATTTCCCATGAAATTTTGAGATTTTCAGTGTTTTTAGCCATTTTTAATAGTTTTCTGTATTCTTTATTGACAATGCAATATACTGTCCCTAAAATGCTAAAAGGCTAACTTGAATGCAACTTTAGGGGCCTGGCATGAGGAAAGATAGCTTCCTTATGCCAGGGTGAGCAGCTTTTGACTTTTCCTTCTGTTTTTATTACTTTTTGCTCATTATTATGGGCCTCGCCAATTGCCTTAGACTAGTGCCCTAGACCTGGAAAAGGGCCCCAGACACCTGTTTCTAGATTTTATTCCCAGGGGACCATTCCTGGTCTGACATCTTCGACACTTGGGATGGTTGTTAACAACCCCTCCCCGGTTTATGTGAAATGATTGAAACCTGTCGACCTTGAACTTGGCCGCCCTGCACCCATTTGAGGAGGGGGTCCAGATAGGCTGTAAGGGCTTATATTTCCCTGAAATCAGTTATTTGGGCAAGGAGCAGGCATCAGCTGACTCACTGGACCCAGATTTCCCATGACATTTTTAGATTTTTAGTGTTTTTAGCCATTTTTAATAGTTTTCTGTATTCTTTATTGACAATGCAATATACTGTCCCTAAAATGCTAAAAGGCTAACTTGAATGCAACTTTAGGGGCCTGGCATGAGGAAAGATAG